TGTGACAATATCGTATGAATTCCTACACGATAAAACGCCTTTTGAAATCTGTCGATAATACAATGACATGATTTTTTGTCGAAAGAGCGAGTCTATCGTGCTTTGCTTGCTTTTGAATGCCACCTGATTATGACTTATTAATTTGTTATTGGTTAAAAACAACATTAGTCTAGCAGACAAATACAATACAGTCATAATACAATCAGGACGTACCGTTCACAAGCCATAATAAAAAATGAATTTAATTTTCCTTCTGCAGGATCTTGATTGCCTTGTGTAATGCAGAAACCCAAATTTTGGATTATACCAATAGCCACATAATAACCATAGATATGGGAACCGCAAAGGTCCAGACCGGAACATTTTGACACTGAACAATACGAATTTGCACTCTGAAAAATACATTCCCTAATGGAAAATGATGTAAATAGGAAAAACCGTAATTAAACTTTCCTATCTATCCGATCCCTATTATCCCGACTCAAACCAAGAAAGATAAAAAGAGCTATAAATTCAATTGGGACAGCCTGGAAATGATTGGCTTGATTCCCAGATAACGAATACTTTGTAATAATAAGAGATAAAATAAATAATATTATAATCAATAATAATCAACAAGTAATAAAAAATAAATCTATATTAAAAAGAATAAATAATTCAAGACACATTTTAAATGTAATATTAAGCGAAATGAAATCGAGCGATAGCCTCAAATTAGAATTAGAAAATAATATTGAAAGAAAATTAAAAATTTTAAAAGACGAATTAACTAATTTGGATTTTTCTATCCAATGCGCCAAGGCCGGAATCGTAAACTCATTTACGTTGTCAAATGAAGAAATCAATGTTATTAAGGGAACATTTGAAAAAGATAATATACCATATTTAAACTTAGTAGAAGACATTAAATTTAGCGATGTCAAAATAACAACGAAGTTATCATCAATTATTTATATTACAAAATTTCCTTTAGCAAACGATGAACTATGCAAATCAATAAGAATACAACCTGTAAAAAATAATGAAAAGCAATTAGATTAAAATATGAAGATTTTATTGTTTGTAATAAGAAAGTATATGGTATGAAATCATATTGTAAGAATATAAACAATTTAATATTATGTAAACAATTTAATTTAGAAGAAGTTACAGAAAGTAGTTGCATACCAAATTTGCTCAAAGTTTATTATCCAATTGCACGAAGACTAACAATCACCACATACAAACGGTAGAAGAAATTTCACCTGATCTATTGTTAATCAATAGCTACAAAGGAACTCTAAGAATTGACACTGAAATCTTCAAGTTATGCGGAATATTTTTTGTAAAATACGACAATTCAAGCGTAACAGTAGAAAAATTTTTTTATAAATAAGTTAGTATTTGAAATCCATTACCAGCAATAATCAAATCAAGAGATGCCACGGGAAACATTGAAGAAGTACTTTCATTACAATATCTGAAAGAGTTCAATGGAGCGAACATTCAACAGATCAAAGAAATTAACAATAGATTCAAAGTCAGCCTATTCAGAGGATCAGCGATAATAGTAATATCTTTTATTATCGTAACAATAATCCTGATAAAAAATACAACTTTAAATAGAAAAACTAAAATTCATATTGAAGTCAATGCGAACAGTTCAGAAGATAATTCACCTACACCAGCAGAGAGGTTCAGTACTTCAACAGCTCACATTTCACTCCCTACGAACGAAGACGCTGCATGATTTAAAGGGGAAACTGAGGCTTAGAGAGTATGTTAATGAGGAGGCTTCCAGACACATCGAAACTGCTAGGCGAGAAATCTGGTTGTAACGCAAGAAGCCTTCTGACCTAGCAAGAGAACAGTAGCAGCAAATGTATTTCATTAACATTTAGCTTTTAAGGAGCCAAAAGGCTCCACCATAACTCCACCTCGGTTAGATGCAACACATGCAATAGTTGTAGCCATATTACGACCTGTTCAGGCATTTAGACACATAGAGAGCGGTCCATACGTGAAGTGGACCCATGCTGCCAACACACAACCACGACAATGTAATGCGCCGCCATTCTAGCCGATTGACCAACAGGGAACCTCTACGGTATCACTGAGCTCAACTAGGCAAAAAGACTCAAAGTCTGATAAAACTAGCACCACATAGTGCAGTATCTTATCGATGGCGACATTGATCGCAGGGATACTACACTAGAATGGCAGACATAGCTATTCGGTCAGGTAATGTCGAGCCCGACATATTTAATACATACATCACCCCAGTTACTTATTGCCGAACACGATATCACCCGAATATGGGTGCGCTGCTTCGTGATGAGAACGGATTAGTACTTGGCGATTTTAACGCGCATCTTTGGCACTCCTGCCTGTCAAACGATCGTAGGGACATGAAGCTGGCGGAACAAATAGACGACAACGACGTTCTGCAAAATCAATGAGGAAGCACCTACCAGAATTATGGGCACATGTGGCAGGTCGCCCAATATCACCTTAGCTAGTGGTGGTCTGATAAACAGCAGAACCTGTTAGAATTCAACAACTAATACCAAATTTCCAAGCTGAAGCAGCAAATGAGCGCACCAGCAAGGTCGATCCATGTGATCCCCGCATAAGGGATCCCGATTTGGAGATTCGATAACTGGTAGATTAGCATAAGCGGTCGAAATGGGTGGAGCACCTGAAGTCATGTAATCACTCCGCCAGAGTGAGCAAGCTGTCAAATCCCTGTCCAATTCGAGCAGAAACGACGATAACCGTGTCAAAATATACTTCGGCGTTCGTGCTTCCTCGGCACTATCGCGGTTGTTCAGAGTGCCATCAACAAAACAAAAGCATTAAAATCCATAGGCCTAGACGGTACAAATATGCTGATGTGTAAACACCTATACTCGACGGGAGTAAGTTATCTCACCAAGACCCTTAATTTGTCTCTGCCTACTCTTCACATACCCGATGTGTGGATAATCTAAAGCGTGGTCTCACTGGGAAGCCTGCCAACCTAGAAGAGGCCTTGCTACTCCCGACCTTCACACTATCTGAGCCTAGGGGAACACCACGATGTGCAGAGCAACATTACAGCATTTAGCGTCATAAACGCTTAGATATCTCGTGGCCTCAACCGGTAACCGCCCAGCGAGAGGACTGCCCTTGTAGCGTTGGACTTGTCAAAAGCTTTTGGCACAGCCAACCATACCACGCTACTTGAGGATATTGAATAAACAACGTTCCCTTCAGAACTAAAGAGGTGGACCATGAACTATCTAAGCGGTCGACAATCATCTGCACTATTTCAAGATCAACTTTCTAAATTAAGGAGAACCCTATTTAGGGTTCCGCAGGGTGGTATCCTCAGGGTGGTGTTCGAACCTCGCACAACTATTAGAAGGAGTTTATATTACCTCATACGCAGATAAGGCAATGGAATTGATGGCATGTATTAAAAAGTGAACGCCTATCTCCCAGAATTTTCTCGCTTCAAACCGTTGAAATTCCGACGATAAACAATTTTAAAATTTAAGGTGCTACATTCGACTGTCTGCACTCTTTCACTCTGCATGAAACCGCGATTGTTAGCGGCAGCACTTGGAGCAAGGACAGAGACGTTGTTGGTAACATACAAGGCGATCGGTCGGCCGGTCATTACGTCGCCCCAATATAGTCGCCTTGATGCAACAGGACGCAGATGGAGAAGATACAGAACACCACACTCCTGTTGCCTTCCATCGAACATCCTTATAGCGAAGGCCGCACGCTCTCTGTTAAGGAATAATACAATTCTCTCCAAGCAGTTTCTACTCGGGTGTTTTCGCAGAAACGATTCTTGCACTCACCTGCGAACTAGAACTATTTTCGGACGAGATCAATTTTCGACGAGTACTGAACGCCATTCACAGTGGAGCTATTAACACCTTCCAACCAACATCATCTATAGCAGAATAAGAGCTCGGGTTGCCGCGTGAAACCAGAGAGACCCCTGCGACATACAAAACCTATGTCCTGCATGCAATGACATCTTCAACTATTTGCATGCTCAACTCACTTAACTGCCCTCTCCCTTTAATCCGTTAAGTGATTTCAATGACAGTTAACTTATTGCTTTCACCTAAACAGGGTCTGGATTATCGGTATAACAAATGGTATTATCGGCAAAATCAATAAATTTTATTCAAAATAGTCTCCTTCTGCTTTAAACAGCTTTTATCACGGTCCAAAAGCATGTCGAACGAGTGTTTTAGCTCGTTGCCCGGTATGACCGCCAGTATGCCGGTGCAAGCCTTTGAATGATCTCCACGTCTGCATAACGCTTTCCTTTCATCGGCAAATGCAATTTTCCGAAAAGGTAGAAGTCGCACGGTGCCATATCAGGTGAATACGGGGAGTGGTTGATTGTTAAAATGTGATTTTTGGTTAAATAATCGGCCACAAGCGTCGATCGATGAGACGGCGCATTATCGTGCAACAAACGCCAACTTTCACCTTCGCGATATTCGGGCCGAACACGTCGAATAAGGCGCACCAAACGCTTCAAAACTCCAAGGTAGAATACCGTATTAACGTTTTGACCGGGTGCAACAAATTCTTTGTGGACAATATCCTTGGAATCATAAAAACAAGTCAGCATTGTCTTCACTTTCGACTTCTCCAGGCGCGTTTCGGCTCATTTCTCATTTATGTCCTCACGACCACTTTGAAAACGTTGAAACCACTCATGCACTCTTCTACGGGATAGGCAATCATCGCCATAAACTTGTTTCATCAATTGAAACGTTTCTGTAAAAGTTTTACCAATTTTAAAACAAAATTTAATGTTGGCTCTTTGTTCGAAGCTCATTTTCGCACCGATGACAAAAACATACTGACACTTAAAACGCAATAACTTCACTTCCAATAGATGAAATGTCATGAAATCTTTACTGGAAGTCGATAAAGGATAGCAGATTCTAACACACTAGTCGGCATATAGATGGCGCCACTAGAGTTTACTTTTTTACTGTTTACTTTGGAACGCACCTTGTATAATAATAAGCTAAGAAGGTAGAAGTTATAATTGAACTGAAATGGTGCTGGTTAAATCTATGCCCCGCATGCCAATAACTAAAATAAATAGGGATCACTAAACCAAGGCGTTCAACTTACTAATAAATATATTGGAACTGGTTGCAAATAATGTTTCATCTAAGGTAATTTACATTTACTGGCCTCAATCCCATCTCAAAAATTATATAAATTATACTTTTTTGTTTACTTGTTATACAGTGTTCAAAGTATTTATTTTAAAATGATAATTATGTTTTAAAGTGCTTTATTTACAGAAAATGAGTAAATTTGTGTATTTTAAAAGCAATAAATGAAGGAGTTGTATAAGAATATACTTGTATATATGTAAGTTTCTTTAACATAAGATAAACCAATTTGGCATGAAGAAAATTGTAAAATTTGTACAAATTAGTTTGTTCTTTATATAAACAGTTCAATATCAGTGACAGTGAAAATTTATTATTTTGGTCTTAGCTTCAAAGGAAGATAGTCCAACACGACTGACCCGTTCCCACGACGGTCGGATCTACGTAACTGGAAGGACCCGGATTTTTATCCAGCCAAGGACTGTTAACTCGGCAAAATTCTGCCGCTACAACAAAAACACGTCTGACACAATGAAGTTCTAGAATACGGTACATTAGTTTGGTTATTTTAAACTGCAATAGTAACGATATTGTTTGTAAATTTTAATGATGTGCAGAAAGTATCCAACTTCAAGCGGAGGCCTTACTATGAATAGTTAATTATTAACAGATTCTGAACTATCACTATAAATATGTATGGACGATAAATAATGCAGATTGTTTTAAATTTGTTGAATCATTATATGCTAAATTAATATATTGAATAATATATAAGTTAACTTTGAAATATTTTTTAATCCATTAATTACAAATCTAAAGACCAAGTTGAACCTATCCCTATTGCACTGAAAATTATATTTAAAACAGTAATTGCTAAGTTTAGCTATGCACTACTTATATTGTTTGCCTTTGTTTTAACAGCACGAAATGTGCTGAGGTGACTATTCTGCGGGTGGATCTGTTTTATGTAGAACCCTCCTTCTTAAGATTGTAATTTTCTTTAATTTAACTTTTAAAAAATCATGGCTCGAGTGTGGCCAAAATATTGATCTTACTCTGAAGATTGAGCTGGTGGTATAAGAGAACTAATTCCTTTTTCTGTTTGCGCTATTTGCTGATGAGGCTTTTCTTGCATTATTTCCATATGACCACCACTTGGATGTACCAAATCGTTGGGGGATATTGCCTCTGCACCTGGTGCCAGTGCTTCACTAGGATTGAATCTCTGTAAACGACCCGTTGCAGGCTCCATGTATATACCATGAGCTGCAAGTGCATGTTGCCGAAGTGCGTACATCTGTAGAAACCCTGCATCACATTCACGGCATTTGAACCGTTCACCGGTGTGTCGTCGTATATGTGCTTTTAAATCATTGCTTTGAGCAAATCCACGTCCACACTCCTCGCATTTGAAAGGCCGTTCTCCTGTATGTGTACGCATATGAATGGTCAGATTATAAGCACGATGGAAACCCTTGCCACATAGATTGCATAAGTTTGGTTTGGTACCCGTATGATATCTGAAATACATTCGAACGAACGGTTATACGAAAATATTACTAAATTTTCTAAGGTGAACAAAGAATTTAAAAACTACCTTTCATGTATTTTAACATCAGTGGCACGGGGAAACCCCTTTCCACAGTATTGACATTTATATGGCTTTTCGCCATTATGACGTCGCATATGCACACGCAGATAATCATTGCGTACAAAACTTTCACCGCATACTGAACAAAGAAAATTTCGACGATCACTATGATGACCCTTCTCATGTTCACGCAAAGCTTTACGCTCCTTAAAAGTGTCCTCGCAAAATTTGCAAGCAAATACGCGGTCGGTATGCATCAGTACATGTTTTCGAAGGTATGTTCGGCTTGTAAACTTCTTCCCACAATATTCACAATTGTGAATCTTATGGGCTTGCGGATCGCTTCCATGACGGGTTTCTATATGCTTCGCCAGATCTACAGAACGTGCAAAAGCGCTGTTACATTGATCACATTTAAACTCTTTCGTGTGATGCAAGTTTATAATATGTTTTTTTAAATGATCACTACGCGCGAAACGCTTTGGACAATAGTTACATGCGTGCGCTTTTTCCTCGACGTGGGTCAACATATGACGACGCAGATGACAATGACGCGAAAAAGTTCGCTGGCACTTTGTGCATCGATTTTCAGAATTTGCAGTTTGGTCCACAGCAGAATTTTGGGCAAGAAATTCATCAACAACTTCTGTAATACGCCGCCTATCGGCGACGTCATTTTCCGGCTCTTCATTTTTATCTGACTTTCGTTTCACGGCACTCGAACTCTGTGTATCTCCATCATTTAAAAATTCTTCTTTTTTAATGTCATTATTAGATACTGGTGATCTGCTTTGGTCCCAATCGGGAGCCATGCGCATAATGTCGAAATCATCCACTGATCCGTCTAGTTCACATTTCACTATGAAAAAAAAAATTTCAATAAGAATATTTACAGTATTATATTCTTTTAAACCTTTGATTCCAGCTTCATGTTCTAATTTTAATTGAGGTAATATATCTTCAGAAAATTGCACACCATCTTGCGCTTCGTCATCACTTGAAATGGGGTTGGTATCCATATTAATATCGCTTTCCACATCATCCGATGCATTTTGACCACATTCAAAAAAATGGGATGGACCGACAAAGCTATCGTTGTCGATGGCATTAAACATTTTCTCGGACTTCAGGAAAATTTTAGGCTTCTGTGTATCTAGAGTCGAACTATGTAATTTTCATTATAATTATTTAAAATTAACAATAACAGAACAATAAAATTACCTCTTTGTTTCAATATATTGGAATACGTTTCGTTCATTATTTTTGCCCACATGACTTGAAAGCTCGATTTCCGGTTCTTTTAGAGACACCCTAGGACTGTTTAAGAAGAAATGTCAACCACTTACGAGTAGAATATCATATTCAAAATTTTACCTTGACGCTTCTTCAGGTTGATGGTGCACATTACGCATATGACGATTTAAATGTTCTCTGCGAGAAAAACGCTTGCGACATATGGTGCATTGTGTATCCAATGCTATACCCACACTGGGGTGCTTGTGAACTAAATGGCTTCGCAATTGCCTAATGCGTTCAAAGCGTACACCACATATACGACATTGCAAATTGCTGTTGTGATGAACTTGCTTTCGATGATGCCGCAGTTCCATCAAATCAAAAAATTTCATTTCGCACATTTCACATGGATGTAAGCTCAGCTTATCAGTTTGTGTACCATAATCCCTTCGTTCACTAAAAACAATGTTAACGGGTTCTATTTTGGTTTCACTTTGAAAAAAGCTATTTTCTAAGCCCTTTAATGATATATAAGCCTTTTCGACTCGTTGTTTAAAGTCATAAGCATCCCGGGCGTTTTCCATACAAAAGGAGCACATTTGTTGTGGTAATATATTATCAGTTGATATGACAGGAAATCGCGAACACTCGGACAATATATGAGCTATAGTTACACCACTTTTATGTGTCTCTTGAAAAATAGAAAACAATTCAACATTTTCTTGTAAACATATTCGACAAATGTGATTTGAGTTTACAGTAGTGTGCCATATATTTATGGATTCCATTATCTCTTATTACTATTTAAATCACAAGAGGTGGAATCATATCCTTTCTCAACTATATATTGCTAAAAATCTTAGTTCCGCAGATTAAATTGTAGTTTCATTTCGTATAATTATGTACTCTAATGCAAATTTAACAAATTTAACTTTTATCGATAGCTCTTTGCAAGTGATGTGTAATTATGAACTATGTTTGTTTATTAAACAAGAAGGACGTGATGGTATGAATGTGGAAGGTCATAATGTGACCTATTAAGTGAAGTAATCCTAAAAACTATGGAATTGTTCTTTAAAGTTATAAATTATATAAAATCAAGTATAAGAATTAACTTATAGTTAAATTTTTAAAAATAGTATTTAAGACTTCAATTAATGTGACCACTCTGTACAAGCAAATGTTTCGTGGAACAAACATCATCTGTTTTGACACTTTCAATTTAGGCCATGTATAAAACTACAAGTAACCAGAGTCAGCTGTTTTCCTGTGTGTGTTACACAGCTGAGATCACCTGATCGAAATCTGCCTTTTCTGATACAGAGAAGTAAATAAAAGCATTAATTTAAAAACTTTTTTGTGAACAGATATTGTAATGGATAACATTAATGAAAACTTTCAAGAATATTTGCGAAACAAAAGTTTATTATATATTTATTGCTTTACCTCACGATCAAAAGGATAATATAAAACCAGGAACAATTCAAATGTATGTATTAACAAATACAAGAAAAAACGGGGAAACTTTAGTATACCAACCCATGATTTCAGGGTTAAGATGTGTATGGTTGGATAGAGGAGATATTAATATTACGTATTATCTGTCAACATGGAACCCATTTGTTATTGTGCATATAACGAAAATGAAATGCTTATTTAAAGCAAACATTAAAATAATTAATAAAAAATAAATATGTAGAAACAATGTAGTGAAGTGTAAGTGCATAATATAAAAGAAAAACAAGAAAAAACGTTAACTTCGGTTGCGCCGAAGCTATAATACCCTTCACAAATACAAAGGCCCCTTACAAGAACTTGATTCCGAACGTTCAATTTGTATGGCAGCTATATGATCTAGTAATCTGATCTGACCAATTTCTGTGGAGAATAATTTGTTACCTTAAGCAATAACTCGTGCCTAATTTCGTGAAGATACCTCGTCAAATGAAAGAGTTTCCCATACAAGCTCTTGATTCCGATTGTTCAGTTTGTATGGCAGCTATATGCTATAGTCATCCGATCTATACAATTTATTCGAGGATTGGATTAATGCCTTAAATAATAATACACTCCAAATTTTATGAAGATACCTTGTCAAATGAAAGAGTTTTCCATACAAACACTTGATTCCGATTGTTCAGTTTGTATGGCAGCTATATGCTATAGTGGTCCGATATCGGCCGTTCCGACAAATGAGCAGATTCTTTGTTAGAAAAAGACAGGTGCAAAATTTCAGATCGATAGCATAAAAACTGAGGGACTAGTTTGTATATATACAGACAGACGGACAGACAGACAGACGGACATGGCTAAATCAACTCAGCTCATCATGCTGATCATTTATGTATATATTTTATAGGATCTCCGACGTTTCCTTCTGGGTGTTACAAACTTCGTCGCAAACTTAGTATACCCTGTTCAGGGTATAATTAACTATAAATCGATAAATTGTAATATAAAATTAGTGAAATTTTCTACTTAAAATGCAAATATCTCGAAAACTATAATTGTATATATTCTTGATCTGGAGAATCTCCTCTATCAAACCATACGCCTTTTAACCCTGAAATCGTGGGATGGTATACTAAAGCCGACCCGAGAAATAAACTACTTGTATTAATTTCAACAAAAACAAAAATATATATAAAAAATCAGGTACAATTCATGAAAAACAATTATAATAATTAAAACAATGTGCTATTTCATGAATAATGTAACAAAATATTCTAAATCACCCACAGCGACATACTTTAATTTGGACTACTTTTTAATTTAAATTTAACTTTTAGGAATTTTAATAATTGAAAAATATTTGCATATGTAATAAAGTTATAAATTCTAAAACATTACACAGCAACACAATGTAGCAGATTTCAGGATTTGGACGTTTTAGTAGTACAATATTAGTAGGCAATCCGTACCAAGTGTGACTTTCTTAGTAGAATATTTGGTTGCAACCCTTAGGAAGTGTGACATTTTTGCGTGTTTTTCGTGAAAAATTTAGGTTTGGATACTAGTAGTTTGAATTTGCGAATTTGTAAATCACTTTAATAACTATAAAATCATTAGTTTATTTCAAAATGTCGCGGTTGTTGACAGATTTAAAACCTTGTCCAATTACGCATTTACTTGCAACGTTAAATACAAATACACCATATTTTACTCCAAGTCTGAATCATGTGGAGCGCCGGCAACAGATTCATCTTACGTCAACATGTAGTGAAATACGAAAATTGGCACGGTTGCGTGTAGTAGATAATAGTGAAATTGGAAAACGTGCCATGGCAGAGGGAAAACCACCACGATGCATTCATGTATATAATAAGCGCTCTGTGGGTTATATTGGTGACAAAGTGCTTGTAGCAATAAAAGGTCAGATGAAGAAAGGTATATTGGTTGGTTTAAAGCAAAACCAGAAACTTAAGATACCAAAATTTGATAGCAACAATATTGTGCTAATCGATGACAATGGCAGCCCACTAGGAACGCGCATTCACGTACCTGTTCCAACGGTACTTCGTACCATGCTTAAAGAAAAAACCCAAGCGAAAGGAGCGGATTATACAAAGGTGCTAGCTATAGCAAGCAGATTTGTTTAAAAATGTGTTAATAAATTGAACAAGAAAGTAGTTAATGAACACAAAAGTCTTTTGTTTATTTTAATAAAAAACTTAGGAATGTACAGTTATATCTGGGATAATATTAAGTAACATCATCTATGAAAATTTTAGCGAAACAGTTAAGGTCTGATGTCAATTATCTATCCTTAAATTTTTTAATAGTGTGTAATTAAATAGTAGGTCTTTTCTGCAGTTGATCAGGTGATATACTTCCTCCGTCAAAATCTATTTGATTACGTTTTCGTTTCTTGCTGTGTTCATGTACTAATTCACTTACTCGTATTTTATTCGATTTCAGTCGAAGCCAATTTGTGAACTACAACATAAAAATATAAAACGATAAAAATTGATTTGAAATCTTATTTGTAAAATTACCATTGCATTTGTTTTCACTCCAGAATCATATAGTTTTTGTTCGATGTCGTCCAAGCGATGTTCTGGTTTTCCATCCTCTGTAGTATGCTTTGAAATGTCAAGTAAATGACGCACACGTTGACGCATTGTTTCAAACACAATTCGTCCAACGATATGATTTCGATCATAAGGAGTCAAATAGCGACCATATTCGTAAAAATATGGATGCAATTTACCAAGCTCAATATGTGTTGTTTCCGCTTCACATACAGCCTTATGTACATTTTTGTAGATGTCCGGAACGTTTACAGTAAAATATGGATTGTTAACCTTCAATTCTTTTATGTACCACAAGGGCAGATTCACTGTGCGACCAGAATTTAAATCATCTGTCTCCGCACCTGGATCAAGAAAACCTTTGCAACAAAAGTCAAATGATAAAAACTTTCAATGCAGTCTACTTTGTACGAATTTACCCATTTTTAAAAGTTTCGTGTTCACTTTGCATTCGACCTTCTCTTGTGTAACAAATATGTCTTCAACGGCGTAGTAATTCGGAAAATAGCTCTGATTGTCCATTCCGGTTAATACTTAAATAAATTTATTAATTGCCGAAATTTTGTATACTAGGCGCTTTTGTTATTTGTGGAACTGAAACAGATGTTTAGACCAAATACATATGTATGTGCGCACATTTGTAAGGTAAGGTGTATATCGTATTGGAACGTATTTACAAAATTATCGAATTTTATATAATAGAAATTTCAACAATATATTAAACTTTTATTTATTATGGGTTTTACATTTGTTGTGTGGCACATTATAGAAAGAATATTTTTAATACGTTTGCTTTCCACCATTCGCATTTGTATTTTATTTTCATGGATTGATTCGGAAAGTGCACGAAAGAACGAGGCCGTGACGATATGTCACAGCATAAATGCTAACATCTTCATAAAACGGAATTGTTATTAGCGTCTTTATAATAGCTAGGTCTGCTGGAGAGCTTGAAAACCTTAACCTTTTCTACACGTTTAAAAATATATCAATTTTATATTGTCTTTAGTGAAATCGAAATTTGTGGGTCACTGAGACAGGGAGTATATGTAGTTCCCGTCCTCTAATAGGTTTAATGCACATATTTAAGTAGAAATATTTTCAATAATAATAAATCTAACAGTTGTCCTTCACCCACCAGAAATACCACACATATGTATGTATATCGGCATTTAACGGTACGTTGGTGTGTTAAAGGAAAATATTATCAATTGGATATTCAGACTGAGGGCGTGCCACCAACCACCTTACCATTTATATTTGTCATTTGTCCCTATGACCGTTTGTTTTAGTAATAATTTAACGGTAATTTCTTTATAAAAACATACCTTGCTCCTTTACTAATAAAAAACTTAAATTTTTGATGTTGAAAGGTAAGGAAGCCTAAGTTCGGGTGTAACCGAACATTTATAATTTCCCAATTTCCGGTGTACCCGAACATTTTATACTTTCAGGTCTTGTCAAAGCTTTATATAAAAAAATGTTGTGAAAGCAGTAGCGGAAGAGTAGCCGCCTGGGGGCTATCAACTTTTGCCGCCTCTAAAATTTGATACTTATGACCATCTACTTTATTACTTTAGTATACCATCATGTAAATTATAATTTCTATCGCTAAAATTCCTAATTTATAACTTGTGCTCCATCATACTCGTTACATCAGCTTTTCACGTGTGGTTAATATCGCTGATAACTGAGGTAACGTGAAAGCCTAGATTATTTCCAAAAATTGCAAGAAATATCAAAAAACATTATCTTAAGCAAAGAAAATTACAATCCAGCTTTATATTTATTTTTATTATTCTATTTTTTTTTGTTAAGTCACAATCGTCTAAATAAAAGTTATTAAATTAATTTAAGCAAGTTTTCCATTTAGAAAAACATAATCAATTATAACAATTATTTCGCAAGAATTTTTTTATTTTTTAATAAGACCAAACTAAACCAACCAAAATTTGCCGCCCAAGGCTGCAGCCTACTTAGCCTGTAGGTAAATCCGGCACTGTGTGAAAGAATTCCATATTCATTATTCGACTAACATGAGAGATAAAATCATATATATTGGGCAATTTAACGGCTTAAAGTCAGATAAAAAGTCGAAAAAACTATATCGGGTGTATTAGGGCTAGGAAAAGGTCTGGACCGAATATGTTAACTTGCGGCATTACTCAAGTATATTTAGGAACATGTTTCCACATAATTTTATGAATGTAACCCACGCACCGACCGACATATGTGACATAAAGTCTGCTAGAATAACGAAACCGCTATATGTAGTATTTACACATTTTCTGCATTAAACTATAATAAATCCAAAACGCATAATTACTTAATTTTGCTAAGATATCTTACATATTGATCGATATATACGGTATAAAGGCGGATGTTTAAAACACTTATATTGGTTATATGGGGGCTAGAAGTTATATGGACCAATTTTTTGGCATTACGATATATTATTACCAGAAAAATATTTTCTATGAGTTTCATTAAGAAACCTCGCGGATTAACTACTATATACGGTATAAAGAATCGGAAGTTCAAAAATATTTTTATTAAATATATGGAAGGGTAAGTGTTGACCCGATTTTTAATATACATATATCACAGATTGCCCAATATTTTCGATAAAAAGGCACAAGGGGTCCACATCTTCGGTATCTGGTGTTTTCATTTTGACAATTTTTAGACTAGAGATGGAATACCTTAAAAGCACTGTTTGCGCATAGTTTTTATCCCGATATATTCCTTGGTGCTTGATTTGAATACTGTAAAGTGAAAAAATCATATGAAATGTAAAATTGAGTTATACGAGAATTCGTTTTCACTTATCTTCCCCCGTGATATAGGAATGTCAGGATAATGTTATGTACCAAATTTTGGGAGATTTATACATTAAACCAATTAAGGAACGGAGCCACGCCCACTTAAAAAAAAATTTATAAACCACATATGCCTCTTGTAAATGCAATTAGTTCTACCAAATAACAGTTGTATACCTTAATGTGGAGCTACGTTAGGTTACATTATTTGTTTTCGATTAATGGCATTTGTGGTATGTGCCAAGAAACATGTGTACCAAGTTTCATTAAATTATTTAAATTTTTACTCATGCTACAGCTTATACAGGCGGACGGACGGACAGACAGTTACCCGGATTTAAGCTCGACTCGTCATCCTGATTTTATATATATATGATATCTCCATATCTACTACTTGTATGATCATTTTTAGGTGATACAAACAATCGTTATGTGAACAAAACTATTACACTCTGCAGCAACATGTTGCGAGAATATAAAAATATTGCAAATTAATTTAAAAGTCATTATTCGACAAAAACGTCAATGGATTACAATCGTAACTGATATCTTATTAAATTTTATAATACATTATATACTCACTCGATATTCATTCATATACATATCCGCTGAATTAAAATGTTACACATATTAATCACCACAAACGGTTTAAAGTCAGCTGAAAAGTCTGAAACCGCTATATCAATTAAATTTGGGTTAGGGCATGTCTGGACTGATCACATGTTCGGTATCTGGGGGCTTGAGAAGTTGTGATTCGATTTTTAAATGAATTAGAAATGTTTAATTTAGTTGAAATCGATCGAGTAGTGTCTGAGCAATAGGATTTCACTTGTGGAAAGTGCGTTATCTTTGGCCTGTGTTCTAAACGGTATAAGAATTTAAATTCTGATGAAAGAAAGTAAAATTTTTGTAATTTTTGATTTTTGCGAATATATATGTCAAAATTTTGAATAATGCAAATGAATGCATTTTTTTTAATAGTTTAATTAGTATTGCAATTAGCAAAGAGAAGTACTTCTATAAACTTTTCTCGTTTTACGAATAAATTTAATAATTTTAATAACATTACATAAATTCAAACGTTGCAATTGCGTTGGTCTGGAATGTCAAAATTTTACTTTTCATTTGGCACAGTAAATCGTAAAATTTGCTTAAACCATGGTAACATTTATCACCCTTTCACAGAGAAAAAGTCACGTTTGGCGCCCAGCCCTACTGCGCACACACCTACCCGTGTACCAAGTTTCATTAATATTTTACTGAAGTTATCGCTGTACGGTCTGACAAATTGAAAATTTTATTTTAATATATAGTATGTATATACATGTGGATTACATAGAACTATATACCTGTTTATACTAGGCTTATATGTTACTAGCAGCCCGTCCAGGCTTTGCATAGGTAATAAACGATCATTTCAAGCTATCAGTTTTAACACACACACACTAATACTCTCTTTTTTGTGAGTGGGGTTACTAAAAAATTTTAAAATTATAAAGAAAACTTGGATATAAGGTATTTTTTTACCTATTTCTTTTTGTATTTTTTTTGTTTTTTTTTTTGTATTAGGTTTTTTCTTAATATATGATTCGTTTATTTTTATTTCAAATATTTGTAAAAAGTTTTACAAAGTGAATGTCCACAAAACAGAGCTTCACTGTAAACGATATTAGATGTTGTTTTATTTTGTGGCAGCAAAATAAATTGATTTTCAGGATCTCCGACCCGCGATATGCCAACATACAGTTGGCCATGAGTAAAACATTCTTTTCCTTGGCCTTGGGAAAATAGTTAACACGAAAGATGTTTTTACCGGAAAGTGAAGCAATTTAAATGGGATTGGTAGATTAGTTGAGATCATCGGTATGCTCGGCATATGATCTAGTATTATCTATGTTTATTTAATCACACGACCGCTTCGTAGGGAACCAACTTGGTGAGTGAGGCGCGCTGCACTTTATTTCATCACATTGACTCGCCTCCTGCCTAGCCTAGCGGACTGCCGCTTTCCGCTCTGCAACATTTTTAAATTCGTGATGGAATGGAATGTCCGAATCAAATAATTCAAAAAGTAATATAAAGGTATTTTATTATAATTTTTTTTTTAAATAAAAGAACATTTTTTGCACCTTGAGCTACATTATTGGCGATTTAGTAAGGATCCCTAACTTTTTTGAATATATAATAGAAAATAATTCTATCCAAACAAACAAACAATCAAATCTTTCCTCTTTTTAATATTATAGTAACTATAGATAAACAACCGTTAAGTTAACAAAACTATTATCCTCTGTTGCTATATGTTGCGAGAATACGAAAAGCGTAACACAAGTAGTAATGGTAATAAATCCATTAGTTTTGCAGTAATTCCCAACTAGAGACTTTACGGCTACAGCCGAACCAATTAATATATTGGTATAAAAACAAGCATGCAAAACACAAGCGCGCTTATATATGTATGTAGTATGTATGTTTGTATGTATATAGGACTTTAATTTAAAACTTAATCACCAGACAGCGATGTGAATGAAAACTGAATGAAAACAAAAATAGAGGCAAATGTAAAGAAAGGAAAACCATATGACTGCAAATGAATACAACCTTCACGGGACATGCGCAAAGCTTTCGACGAAAGGATGTTTTCGAAAATGTTTACGAACATACAACAGCACTCATTCATATGTATACCTTTGTATTGACAGTGCTTTCTGATAGAAGAGTGAAAGCGGCTCAAACGATAATTGCACATTTTCGAAAAATCAGTATAGCTTAAGAGGTTTGAGAAGAATAGACGTTATTTCCAGGAAGCGGTGAAAATATTTCTACGAATCAGAATTGAAGTTTAAATGGGCAGTCAATGAAGTAATACAGAGTTTATAAGTAAAAATATGTTTGTTGGAAATCATAAAAGTTATTTAAATTTATGTACGTGCATAAATAAATGAGTGTGACTAATAATGTCATTACAACTTTGTGTTGAAAAATCAAGTAGTTAAGTGTTGGGTTTTACGGAAAATCAATAATCATTTTTAGCCCATATTTCCAGCAAGTTATACAGTTTTTCAAATATTGCAGTAATTATTTCAAGCATACATATGTTTTGCATACATACATATGCAAATAAATAAAAATAAAAAAATTAAATAGTTAAAAAGTTGAAAGCATATTTACCAAAATTATTGCCAAGTGTGGGGAAATTCTGTATCTCATATATGTATGAATTGATGTTCTTGTTTTTCTGGGGGTGGACAGCAGATACCACAGCCCTTCCAATCACAACGCAATTTTAGTAAAGCACACCGAGCAACAACGGTGACAATAACAAAGCAAAGCATAATCCACACACATACAAACGCATAAATGCTCGATATTTCGTAACCACCCATTGTGCCCCCCTTTTTAGGTCAGCGGTGCATTGTTCGTGACTCGTCGTCAAAATTCCAATACACATACATACGAACATACATATATATTTATTGGCGAAGGTAAAGGCAAGGAAGGAATAAATGAATGGAAAAAGTCGCACAAAATCTATTCTCGAAACCTTCGCAACGATTAAGCTCTGGTACGTGGATATGCACTTGGGGTGCAGCTTCAAAGTCAGTATAATTTGGAAGTGTGCATAACTTAAGTTATAGTGAGAAAATAAAGTGAAAATCGATTTGCGATTCTGGTTCGTGAACATTTAAAGACGGATACTTAAACGCAATGGCGACATCAACATCGGCGGCCTCAACATCGGTGTCGGCGTCAGGCTCGGCATCGGCATCCACATCAACATCAACCTCTGGAAATACGGGTATCGGCTCCCCCTCTACATCGGTTATATGTGAAGAGGTCTTTGATGAGACTGAACCAAGTGCTGAAGGTAAGTTAAGAATATACACATATCAGCTTTTTTAATAACTTGTAGTTCATATTGAAAGTATTTTATAATAGAGTCTAGCATCTCTGAAATGGTTTTCGGGTAGGTTTAACTTTTATACGTTACGATCGAAAGTTTAAGTACGAAAGATATGGATTTGTAAGCAAGAAGTTCGAATACAGTTTCTGGAGAGCTTTATTATGCTGGCATAAGGAGGAAAAAGCTAAAAAATCGTCAATAAAGATATTGCTGTAAAATTATTTTGATTTTATGGTAAATATTTTATCCAAAATTTTGAAAAAAAATTTTCATCAACAAAATACTTTAATAAGTTTTGGTCTTTAGTGCTGGCTGCACTCGCATATTATCTTCCTTTGAGAAAAATAAAAATTTCAATATTTCTAAATATAACTGAATATTATACAAGAAAATGTCTTTTTAGAAATATTCTTTATAATAGCACTTTCTTCTAAAATGTAACAATTTTCAGCGATTTTGTCATTCTAACTTTTCAATAATATAATAGCCCTCGTGGAAGATTTTTTTCTTTTCAAGATAGTGGATGAGAATTTTCCTATGCGTATTCCAAAATACGAACGCCATAATTTCGCTAGATGTTGCATGTTTCCACTTTTAAGATTCAGTTTTTCACGTGAACTTCACTCGGAATGGACTTCATCCTTTGGATATCTATTGACTTAAAAAGTCGGGTTTATTACAACTGAGTAGCTCCAAATACTGCTCAGAATCATAAGTTTGTTATCTGGTGACACCAATGTGGATTTTTTGGTGGTTCGTCTATAACAGCATTTATTTGATGTCTACTGGCATTATCGGTACAAAATATGTACCATATATACAATATTTTATTTTTGAATAATTGTACACACTCAAGTTGCTTTAAATACGAAACAGGTGTAAATTATTTGGGTGGTGGATACGAACTCGTTTCTATAGTTGTTTATGTTATTTCATTTATTAGATTTACTTGCGACTGGCCAAGCGGTAAAATTTTGTTTAGACCTCAATATGTACTAAGTGGTGGTCGTTACTCTGCTACCCTTCTGCGTTGGTTGGTGTGTGAGTCTATATATTGTATATGTACATTTACACCTACAGTTGCCTTGTGCTTACTTGCAGGTCAGTAACAAGGCCCAGTTATGTGTATGCATATGTACATACAAATACAAATACGAGTAAGTACTCGGTTGCAAATACGATTATATGTGTTAATATTCTATTTTTTTAGTACATTTAATTTTGTTAATAACAATTTACTGGTAATGTTAAACTTCTTGGTATAAACCTTAGTCTTTTTTGTATTGTGTACTATTTGACAATTGAGGCAAGTTGACTTTATGTAACACCGTGCAGGCCTTCACTTCTGCGTGCCTACGTGCCTCAAGTGGATCGATACACGTGCTGAGTGGATAGTCAGGTGTTGAATCTTAAACAATCAAAATGTTTTTTCATTTTTTCAACCAAGCCGTCCAAATTGTCATAAAAGATGGTACACAACATAAGATTGTGCATTGTAAATTCTAGTAATATCTATGCGAACCTCTTACGGAACATTATTGTTCGCAAGTATTACTAGTCAGATAGCTCTTAGGGAACACCATTGTATTTGGTTTAAACTTTATTATTTACTCTATCTTTAAAATTTGTTATTTTCCTTGTAACGGGCACTTGTAAATTGATATGGAAAAATCAGAACATACTCCCACCTATAAACTTACCGAATATATGAATTTCCAAAAAATTACATAAATTTGGTAGCACCTCTAAATAAATATCTCTTAGATTCAAATAATTTGAGAGTTTGTAAAATAATAATTTATAACGCTTTTATTAGCTTCATCTGTATGTTTGTAAATTTTTTCTGTGCAAGCGATAACTTGAGTATAAATTGAGATATCTTAATGAAAATTGCTACATATGTTGCTTGACACCCAAGAGGTTTTGCAAATGGTAAAACTGCGATAACTCCCTAAATACATGTGCCATAAGCATTAAATTTCTCAAACAAGAAGTTTGGAAAGAGCTTAATAGTAGCCGGTGTAAAAATTTGACAACGGGCGTGGCACCACCAACCTTTAGGTGAAATCCTATATCTCAGGAATTATCAAACTAATTTCAACCAAATTTGGTATGTTAGGTTACCTAGCCGTTGCTATCACACACTGAAAAATAAGCGAAGTCGTACAACGACTAAAAAACTATGCAGCTAAAAAGCATGAACTATCCATCCTTCAAAAAACAAATTCCCCTAAAATTATGCAACTAATAGGATCAGCTATCCGTGTTAAAAGCTAACCTATCCGTCATGTAAAAAAAAGGGACTATAAAACTATGCAGCTAATAGCCACAGCTATGGTAGCTGTCATTTGAATAACAAATTTACTCAAACGCATCCTTAAAGAAAGTGAAACCACCACGTGTGGCAAAATAATAAAAACGAGTATGGTTTGCTCAACAATTTGCTACAAAGTTTGTAATACCCAGAAGGAAACGTCTGAGACCCCATAAAGTGTGTACACTTATAAATGATACATACATATGTATAAATGATTAGCGTGACGAGCTGAGACCTTGTATGAATCCTTTTTTTATTTGACATAGATTATTGCCCGCAACGATCTGACCACTATAGCATTCCACAGACCGTTCAAAATTCAGATAAAGATCTTTTTTCCTTGTTAAGCAACCTTAATTCGATTCATATCATTTTAAAAATGTTAAAATATAGTTTTCAAAAGCTGTAGAATAAAATTTGGATTGATTTTGCTTGTATTCGTCAATAAAAGTGTCAGTGGGTTGGGAAGTACGATTTTTTGAGGGGACGTGTACTTCCGTAGATATGTAGGATAGAATTAAATATTCTATTTGCAGTGTAAACAACAGTAAGGTGTAATGAAAGGAATTGTATTACTACACAATAAGCAGCAAATGTTACATATCGGTAGGATAATGAAAACTACCACACTGACGTTTAGAAGCACTGAGGAAGCAATGCTGTTGACTGTCAGCACATATTTTGCATTTAGTATAAACTACATATCTTACGAGTGTCTGTGTCCTTATTTTTTTACCATTATATGATACTTTCTTTTTTTGTTTTGTTTTCACTCTTTTTCCGTGGCTAGAAAAAAAATGCAAGCATCAGTCTGTTGCCATAATCGTACTTTACAGTTGTTTTTATACCCTTAACAGGGTATATAAAGTTTAACACGAAGTTTGTACACCCAGAACGAAACGTCGGAGACCCTATAGAATGATCAATGTGACGAACTGAGTCGATTTGGCCATGTCCAGTTTAGCCAAACAAGTTGCTCATTTGTCGGAATCGCTGATATTGGATATAACTGTCATACAAACTGAACGATCAAACCCAAAAAGTCCTTGTATGGAAAACTTTTTATTCAAGAAGATATCTTTACGAAATTCTTGTGTGGAAAAATTTATTATTTGTGAAGTATGTTATAGATTCAGTAAAACCGGAGTTAAAGTTTTTATACTCTCGCAACTTGTTGCTACAGAGTATAATAGTTTTGTTCACCTAGCGGTTGCTTGTATCACCTAAAACTAATCAAGTTAGATATAGGGTTATGTATATATAAATGATCAGGATGAAGAGACGAGTTAAAATCCGGGTGACTGTCTGTCCGTCCGCCCATCCGTGCTAGCTGTAACTTGAGTAAAAATTGATATATCTGTATGAAACTTGGTACATATGTTTCTTGGTACCGTAAAACGGTTAGTATTGCAGATGGGTGTCGGACAACTGCCACGCCCACAAAACGTCCTAAATCAAAAACAAATAAATTGCCATAACAATGAGATACAAGACTGTTATTTGATCAGTTTAAAATTTTTTTTACAATGGTCGTGGTCCCGTCCCTAATAGGTTTAATGTGCATATCTCCTAAACCGCTAAAGCTATCGAAACTAAATTCACTGCGAACAAATGCTTTTAGCACCTCTATCGACAGTGTGTGGGTGAAGTCGGGTAGCAACCCCGCCCACACCCTATATAACGGTACTGTTAAAAACTACTAAAAGCGCGATAAATCAAGCACTAAACAAGCCAGAGACATTAAACTTTATCTCTGGGATGGTAGGAGATCACTTATTAGGAACCGCGTTCAAAAGTAGACCGTGGGCGTGGCACTGCCTACTTTTAGGTGAAAACGCATATCTTGGGATCTGCTTAACCGATTCCAACCAAATTCGGTACATAACATCCTTCTCATATTTCTATGTTATAGTACGAAAATGGGCGAAATCAGATTACAACCACGCCTATTTCCCATGTAACACCATTTTAAATTCCACCTGATTTTTTCACTTTCCACTATGCAAATCAAGCAACAATGATTGCAACGGGGTAAAACGTTGCGTGAATAATTCGTTAATAATAATGTTACTGATAATAGGACCTCGAATATTGAATAATTTTTTTTTTATTAATTTAATTTCATATTTTTATTTGCCATTAAAAAAGTTGTATCTTAAATATTATTACTTTTGAATCACTCGCTGTCTCTTCAATTGATTTGTTCCGCTTGAGATATGCGAAAATACGCCTAAAAGTATGCAAACATTTTGCGCATAATTTGTGATCGTATTAGGTTTATTTCCATTACGGAATTTTTTGATTCAGTCCCCGCGCACAAAGCCCGCGATAGAAGCTATGCAATAGCTTAGTTATTTTAAAAGTAATGGCTGTTTGTGTTGAACCAGTTTCAATCGGAGCTTCATGCAGTGGCTATCATTAATCCTTGGAGATTCATCTAAAATCAATCGGACAAAAAAAACTTAGTTTTATTAACTCTAATTTAATGACCAACTTTTCCGACGTCTTTTAGTGACCGGGTTCCCACGAACCTTAAAATTGTAAATAATGTTTGTTGTTGCAAAATGTGACTAATTTCGGAAAAAATAAAACAAATGCTGGATTGTGTTGCGCACCTGATGTGCAATAAAATTATGGAACAACCGTAGAGAGCTGAATTTGTTAGGTAAATATATTAATTATAATTTTGTGTAATAATATTATTAACAAATTATATACCATTATAATTAATTTTTTAGGATGAGCGCGACGGAAAGAAATATATATCTCTAGACCATTAGTCTCAGCTGAAGAAGACCTCTCAGATTATGATGAACTAGGGCACGAAGATGATGAAGCAGAAATCAGAAAGCCTGAAGATTATAATAATTGTAATTATTAATAGTGAATTATTATCATTACTTTAGGATGAGTTCAGGGGCCATATGGGAGTTTTATTGAGGAGAATAAAACAGTGTGGAATAAAACGCCACCAGTTCAACATATGAAATGGAAGACATAATCGTCCTTCCCATTAACAAAAACGCTGAAGTTACTTATCAAAATTAAAATGAAAATCATCCAGGGTCTCAAAGCCAATGAAAGTCCATTGCGATACCAGAAATTCATTTGTCCCTTAGTGTCATTATTTGCGCTAGCATAAATAACTCAAATACTGAGCACTGTTTTGATATGTGGCATTGCAATACTTACCCACTGTATCGTGCGACAATAAGAGTAAACAAATTTCATAATATTATACGTTATTTAAGATTCGATGACAGCAACACTCGAGAAGATAAGGCAGCACATTCGTGATATGTGTACAATGCTGAATTCAAATCTGGCCCAGATGCACAACTTACTGACAACTTGAAAATCGATGAACCGCTTTCCTTTAAACGGTATTTTATTCACTGGTTAAAGAGAAGTGAAGCAATTGGTGGCTCCGTACCGAGGAGGTGGCAGGAATATCTGTATGGACAACTTTTTTACTAATCTAATAATAAAAAAAAATTAAACCATACATTCCTAATGTAATGGTACCAAATAAACACGGGAGTAATATTAATGTTTTGGGTTTTCAGGAAAAAGTGACCATGTGTTCTTATGTACCTAAAAAACAAACCTATTATTCTATATTGATGATGCATTCAGATGTATGAGTTAGTGATGATACTAGACGGAAACCAGATATGATAAATTATTGTAATAAATATAAAACATATTATACTATGAATCAAATGGTTTGCATATACACCAGTCAACGACCATTTCGAGGTGGCCAATGAAGATTTTTTTGCTCTATAAAAAGTTCAGCACTTTAAGAAACTTTTTTACATTGTTGTCTGGTATATTTATATAAGTTCAACATGATGGCTTAGAAAATATACCTATCTGTTGCAGCATATTGCCAAAGTATAAAAATGTTGCGAAAGAATTCAACATTCATTATTCGATTATTATTTGGTATCTTATTAACTTAGGCATACTTTACTATAAGGTGGCATACTTTAAACGCATTATTCACGCAAAGTTTTACCCCGATACAATCATTGTTGCTTGATTTGCATAATGGAAAGTAAAATATTGAATTGGAATTTAAAATGGTGTTATATGGGAAATAGGCGTGGTTGTAATCCGATTTCGCCCATTTTCGCACTTACTTACAAATAACTTACAAATATAAGAGGAATATTATGTAGCGAATTTGGTTGAAATCGGCTAAGTAGATCCCAAGATATGGGTTTTCACCTAATAGTAGGCGGTGCCACGCCCACTGTCTAATTTTGAACGTGGTTCCTATAAAGTCATCTCCTACCATCCCAGAGATAAAATTTAATGTCTCTGGTGTGGTGAGTGCTTGATTTATTAAAATTTAAACTGCATATGCCCTTCTCCAAAATGATCCTGTGTACCAAATAACAGTATTGCATCGATTGTGGAGCTTAGTTATGGCAATTTATTTGTTTTTGATTAATGGCGTTTTGTGGGCGTGGCAGTGGTCTGATTACGCCCATATGCAATACTAACCGTCTTACGGTACCAAGAATACAAAGTTTCATAAAGATATATCAACTTTTACTCAAATTACAGCTTGCACAGATGGACGGGCGGCCAGACAGTCCCGGATTTCAACTCGTCTCTTCAACCTGATCATTTATATATACATAACCCTATATCTAACTCCATTTGTTTTAGGTGATACAAACAACCGTTAGGTCAATAAAACTATTATACTCTGTAGCAACAGGTTGCGAGAGTATACAAATTAGAGTTAAATAACGAAGATCCGGGAGCTTCAGATGAAATATTGTTTTGTTTTTATGTTATTCATGCTAATACATCATGGTGGGCAGCCGGTCAATAACATAAGAGTTAATGATAATTTAGTGCCTCATTGAAAATTGTTTTTTTTTAATTAATAAAATAATCAGGAAAATGTTTTCCAGATTTTTGGGAAAAACCAACAGTTAATGTTAATTATTAATAAACTTTCATGTTTTCGAAAAGCCGTATAAAATTCATTGAAATCTACCGAGCGGTTTTTAAACTACAGTGGTCACCATTTCGAAAAGATAGTAAGGCATTTGAAGTTTTAAACGAAGGTTCCAAAGCACGCCCAGAACCTTTTGTTAATTATCGAATAACTCTACTATTATTATCTAATATTATTATTCTACTATATATAATTCAAATTATGTATAGTGTTGCCAGATACGAGCTCTGTAGCGCTTTGTACATAGCCGCGAAATTCAAAAGACAAAAAAGCGGAAGGGATATTTGACAACCTTATATTATATTTATATAAAAAAATCGAAGAAGCTGGCACTACACGAATTTGCTCTTTAAAAGAGCAAAGTAATTACACAGGTCTGCAACAAAATTAATTTTGATTTTTTAATCCCTTTTGTTAGGATTCAAAATAAATCCAAGATGTTTGGGACTAAAAATTAAAAACTTTATTTTTTAATTTGATTGAAGTACACTAATGCCTAAAATCTTCATGAACTTGGAATTGGTTCTTTGCAAATTAAAATATAAAGACCACGTTAGTAAGTGTGCAGTGATTTAAAAATATTGGGCATGGGTTCAGACAACAATCTGGGTTTACCAAGTTTAAAGTTGGCGAAATTAACGTCCTGCCTGAAACTATGGCTACTCTTCATAAAGTTCTTCTACCATTGTTTCACATAAAGCTGGGATTGATGAAGCAATTTATAAAGGCACTTCAAATAGATAGAAATTGCTTCAAGTACTTCGTATAAAATTTTCCATGCCTCTCGGAGGCAAAGTTGAAGGAAGGTGTTGTCGTTGTATCAGATATTCGACGGCTTATGACTGATCGACTTTTCATGACATCCATAACGGATCCTCAAAGAGAAGGGTGGATGACCCTTTAAAGAGGTTTAGGTTGCCTAATGAGTCTAAAAGAACATTTTCTTCGTTCCCGCCTCGACTACTTTCCAGAAAATTTAGGAGATGTAAGTGGAGATTTCAGCAAGATATTAAAGGGATAGAAAAAAGATACCAGAGAAGATGGAGCGTCTAAATAGTGGTTGGACGCTTCAGACCTTCCGGATGTTTACTACAAGCGAAAATATACCAAAAGGAGTCTCACTGGGGAAAAGAAATGTATTTAGTGCGCACTAAAAAATGTATTTTATATTAACAAAAGTTTTGTTTCGCAATTATAAATATTTATTTATAGTTTTTTATCTTTTTTTTTAAATGATAATTTGTTTAACATAGATACCTACATTGTTACAAAAACAGCCCTCTCTGCTTTTGCAGACTTGTGTCATTAAATAATCTTAATAATTATAATAACTTAGCACGACTTCTACAATATCCGAATTATCTTATTACATTTTTATATTCTCTGTTTAAAATATGATTTTTACATCTTTTTCTTATTATTTCGTTATTTATTGTTATATATCATTTTTAAAAGCTTTTCAAATAAACTTAGTTATACATATGTATGTATGTACCGCAAACATAATTTAAATATTGTATTATAAGTTCATTTGAGTCAAATTGGTAAAAGAAAATAAAATTTAAAAAATGTGTTTACTCATAACAATAATGAATATATATTTTGACTGTTTAGTTGACAATCTAACTACCTTAATTCGGTCCAATATCCAGAAAAAACTCGATTTTAATTATTGTATTTTCTTGAAAAAGTTAGTCTTTATTTATCATGAATAAATTCAAAATGTAACTTATCAGCCATGCTCCATTAATCTTGTATCGATTTAATTCATTTGTTATTTTGTTTCTAACAAATGTCTTAGAATTCCATTTATATTTGCTATTGCTGTTCAAAATAAGGCAAAAATTGCTTGACTCATACATATTACAATATATTCTCATATTAATTTTTCTATAAAATCTAACCTTTTAAATGAAAGAGTAAAACAAAAATATAAATATTTTTTTCCTCCTAGAAATCCATGATTATGCTTTGATGGTTGGCATTGATCCAGTTAAAGAACCGCACTTACTTTATTTGGCGAAAGAGGGGTTGATGCAGGCACTGCCAACCGATTGGAAAATATGGTATGTTTGTACATACATATGTATGTTATGACTATAATGTTTATTATAACTACAAGGTATGAACCGTTAACCCAACGATGAGCCGATTGTAATTTTTTTACACATACAACTGGTATTTTTACGTGATGTCAATTGTCAGATTTCGTCAGAAATAAACTAATTTCATTTTAGTTCAGAAAATACACATAACAGTTTTTTTTTCTCAATTTATAATCTCAGGAGCAATACTTATTTAAATTTTGTCCCGATCGTCTGTAAAAAAATATTGATTCGCTGATGTTACTACTTATGATTTCTTTCTGAACCAACTTTCCAAAGCATTGGTGTAGTCCGACATCAACGTTACAACTTTTCGTCTGCCTAGGGCAAACTGCGTTGATACTTCGGCAGACAGTATCTTATAAAAGGATTTTATAATTTGTTGAGGTAAAAGTTAGTTGACTTATATACATACAGACGAGAATGTATAGAATGCAAATAGACTCTGCTTGTCAGTTATGTAATTTTTAATAAATTTCATTTAAAACAGAGTTAAAAATTTTTATTTTCTATTCTTTGTTAAATGTGCTGTAGCGTCGATAAGTACATAGTATATGTACTGCTTTGTGATTGGTGAAAGCAGAGAAGTTCGCTTCCCCCGCGAGCTGTAGACGTGATGCTATACTGACTAGTTCGATGCCATTCTGGAATTTCTGGTTGTTTTCTCGACTAGTTAGATATTTAATAAAAAGGCGTTCTTAAAATATATCGGCTTCTGTGAATAAATACTTAGACATTAATATATAAATTATTATTATATATCCTTTCATTTAATATGAGTTTTCTTGTGTGTTTTACCCATGCGAAGTGATGACAATTGGTTCTCCTGTATATTACTATACTTTTATACAATTTTATAAAACCACTCAAGCTCATATTTTTTCCAGTTATTCCGAGGAGAAATGTGGACACTATTATTACAATATCAAAACGCAACAATCACAATGGGACCATCCGCTCGATGCGGTCTACCGAGAATTAGTAGAACAGGCGCGGCAAAAGCACACAGTAATAGCGGCCACACCTGTCATCGACAACTCAGATGATGCGTCGCAACTGGACTCAGGTATACGTAGTCTACAAGGTAACGATGAATGCGACAACACCAACAACACAAATGAAATGTCTTCACCGGTAAGCAATGTAAATACAAATTGCACTGCAAGGTCTATGAATAATGCAGTAGCTGCTGCAACTGGTGTAGGAGCTAATGCTGCGGGTATTGCTGGCATCGGATTAACAAACAATTCAGGTTCGACTTCGAATAGTACAAGCACAAGTGGATTTAGTGGTGGTGTTAGCCGGTTTTTGGAATCCAGAAGTAAAAATTTTGGTCTTAACTTTCAACCGGTGAAAGGATCTCGTTTCGAAGTATCGAAAACAAACCCTCAAATATCTTTAGCAATGAAATTTGGTGGCGAATGTTTTACTTCGAAGTTGGCGGTTGCGAACAAAGTTGAAACGGATGTTGGTGCTACAGGTGGTATAGATAAGCGAGCTTTTGTGTTATCCGGTACTGGTGCGATGTTCCTAAAATCGCGCAAGCAAATGGAAACTGGGCTAAATCAAGCCACTGCTGCTATGTTATTGAACTCCAACTCAAATAATGTAATTGTAGAGGGACCCGCTGGCACGCCACCGGGCGTTAAGGGCATATTGCGCGATTCAAGCTTAACAGATATGCGACGAAGATTCGAAAAAGATGATGCAGAAAATCAAGGTGTAGAGGATAAGAAAAGTGTACGTTTCAATTTAGATGAAACCAAAATACGAGGATCGCCGGAGGAGGACCAAAGCAGTTCGCGTAAAATAACTCAGAGCCCAGAAGCATCAGTATATTCAGATGACGATGATGTAGAAGATGATGATCCTTGGGACGATGATAATGACGACGACAATGAAGGTTGCGTTGGGTATGATGTACTTGGCGCTGAAGGTGGTATTCCACGTAGTCTTAACCCATTCCTAATGAATGATGAAGTAAAAAGAAAGGAAATACAAGTTATATCGGTACCTAAGGCACAAACAATACAAATGCTAAAGGCACAAAGCTTTTCCATGGATCTCCCTGAACGTGATCGTGCCAAACTCTCAGAGTTGGCTCGCTCACAAAGTACTGAATCGGGCAATATACCGCAACCAGTTTCTGTGGTAAGTTATCTCGAAAAATTGAAAGATAATTCTACAACGATTAAACCAATGTACGAGGACACAGATTCGGAATCAAAAGGCAGTTCCGTACGAAGTTTTATTATAAATAAATCCGAACAGGATTCTGTGAATTCAATTGTGCCTGCTGTTAATCCGTTTGAAGGTGATGAAAATGCTACTAAAAATAATCGTGAGCTGGAGCAAGCTGAGGCCAAATCCGGAACGCAGAAACCCGTTTTGCGTACATTAAAGGTGGCATCTAAGATTGTCAGCTTTCTGAAAAAAGATACTGATAAAGCTGAGCGAGAAACTTGTGTTCAAACACAAAATGACCGAGAAAATTACAAAGACTATGAAATTCAAAAACAAGAGGCTGAAAAAGAAAAAGAGGTATTACTTAAAGAGGAACGCGAACGTTTAGAGGACCAACTTCAAAGAGAAATAGATGCCATCAAGATTGATCATGAACACAAGCTCGAAAGTATTCGACAAGAATATGATTCTCGCTTGACATCTCACCGACATGAAATGGAACAAACATTCCAAACACGCTTGAATGAGTATCGGGCGAAGTTGGAGGAAGAGTTGATTATAAAACGAAAAGTTGTTGTAGATGAACACAAGGCGCATATGGTTACACTACAAAAGAATCACACCGAAATTTTACAAGATCTAGAGAGAGACTTGAAAAGCGAAGAAGAAATCATTAAAAAGGAACATGCACGTAAACATTCTGAGATGCGTGACAAGTTGGCACATGAATTAGAGTTGGAACATCAGCGTATGCGTGAAACAGGTGAAGATAGATTGTATGAAAAGATACGTTGCGAAAAGCGTTTATTAGAAGATAAGTATCGCTGTTTAAAGGAGAAATATGTGCGTCTAAAAACAGATGTTAAACTATCATTGGAACGTCGTAATCGACGACGCGAAGCGCAAGCACTGCACCAACAAAGTCTTCACACGAATACTACTACAACGGGCTCAGAGACGGAAAGGTCAATTTCAAACAAGCCATCTATTGGTAACAGCGAGAATCGTTCACTTTCCTTGTCGACTTCTTGCCAAGAACACGGGGGTGTTGGCAGTATCGGTGCAGTCCCTCATACACTATTGGGCAGTAAGAGCGCAAAACCACCAGTGCCACCTAAAACTCATTTAACGCCTGTTACCGGCAGCAAAGAGCATGGAAATTCTGTGGTCCGTGAACGTTCAAATGAACGTGGACAACTACCAATAACACGGAAGCCGGGCATTGCCTCAAAATATATTAAGCACTTGCAAGTTCAAGATGACACAACTACTTCGATTAGTCAATCAGACACGACTATATCGAACAACTATAGCAAGGGACGTTATCTACCAGCCCCAATACTGAGCGATAATGGAAACTCCGACTCAGAGGCTGCTTTCCAATGCAATCAAGAGAACAATAATAACGGACGTGGTAATGGTCAACGCAAGAAAATATTTTCCCGCTTGAAGTCCGCTTCTACATCACGTTTGAATTCAGACAACTATAAAAACGACCGACCTTGTACACCGGTTGAGAATTTGCGTCATCAGCTACAGAAGCTAGAAGATTTAGAAGATCAATTTCCTGACAATACACTCGACACTACTTACCATTTACGCTATCCATTCTCCGATATATCCAACGATCGTGCCGGTGCTGGCAACAGTTCGGAGCTTGAGTTTTTCAAACATCGCATACATTTGGAGCGTGATAGTGTGCGACGCGCCAAGGAATCATTACGCACACAGCGTACTAATTTCCGTGCACGACAACGTGAGATCAAACAGCGTCATAAGGCTTCCACAACACGTCATTCACTGGACCAGCTTATACAAGAGGAAAAAGAATTGACAGAAATGGAAGTGAATTTGCACCGCACACGTGCCCTACTCGGCGAGAAGGTTATACGATTACGTCACTTGGAACAAAGCCTTTTAAGAATTTACGAAAAGGAGAAACCCACCATGGATTTGCTGGGCATAGAGCAGAAAGACGATGCCACGCTAAGTGATCTTTCATCACATTCAAGTTCAGGCTTTAGCAGCACAGATTTCGCCAGTGGCGCAGACACGCACAATTTGCACAAACGTAAAGAGAACTATCACCAGGAATCAACAGAATGTATACAAAATCTAGAAATTCTAAATGCTGAAATTCGAGAAATTCTCGATATACTTGGCAAAAGTCAACAACACGGAGGTAATAAACTTTGATTGATTTTACAGTTGTATGTGCGAATTATTTTACATTGAATTACTTACAGGCATACCCATGATCTCACCCTCGGAGTTGAATTGGTCACACATGCTCTCAACCGGTATCAACTCAGCTTCCACACCACAAGCAAATCTTCAAAATTTTGGCGCAACCGCTACGCTTATGCATGCACCACAATCCATACCAACACTAGCTGATCGCTTGGAGACATATCGTCAACTTGCTACTGGACGCATGCAAAATTCTATGGGCGGCGCTATACTCGCCGCAAATACCATAGTTTCGCAAAGTCCACGCGCCGTCAACTATACGACTAGTCTAGTGGAGCGTACCAGAGATCTACGCAATTGGCTGCGGCAAGCTAAAACAGAACACGAATTACTAACCGGCGGTAGCAACATTGTTCTACCAATGCAACATGGTGGTTTAGGTTCGACAGGCAGTGCCTTGGGTGTGAATACGGTGAGCATTCTTAATACTAGGGAATGTGGTGGCAGTGTTAATGGCGCTGCCGGTGCTGTGGTAGGTGCTGGAACGACAGCCACAACTGGTGGAGGCGGTGGCACGGGTACGCAGACAAATCTATAATTAGGATACAATGTTTTCTGCTGCTGGCGCAGTCAGGAACCTAAGGCTTAAGACGTTGGCATGTGCATTCAGAGGGTAGTTTAATAGGTGTACAGCCTAATATAGCCAAATTCGAGAATTTCCGTGATTGATTAGAATACTCTAGTCTCTCTAGTAATGTGAGTGTAAAGAAAGTCTAATTGCAAAGATCAAACTTCTTGATTATAGAAACTAAAGGCATTTTGTAGCGAAAGTGTCTGCATAAAGTTTTATCGGATCTCTATTCAAAACCAAAGATAATCGTTATTGAAACTAAAAGATTGAATATAATAGTTGTATTTGTAATAAAAACTCATACAGAAGTTATATCATATAAAAGTATAGTTCTGGTGCCAAAACAATGTATTTGCTTGTGAAGGAAAAGAGAATGTGGTCGGACATATACTCGTAGTTAAAATTACATAATTATGGCAGAAACTAATTTTGTTTAGTGAATACAAGCCAATATTAACAAAATTTCAAATTGAAAAAATACTTCACCACATTAACTAAATATTAAATAAAAACGAGATATGTTCTTTTAGCTTCTAATAAAAGCAATCCATTCCTTGGCATATTATGATATTATTATTTTATTTGAAGAATTAATCGAAATATCTGAATGTGATATATAAGGCACATACACATCCAACCACCTACAGTACTTATGGTCAGACATGATTCTAAAGTAACATCCACATGTATATGTAAGTTGTAAGTAAGGTGGTCCTTAAAACTAAACTAAAAATATTTTATACTTAACAATGACGATTTTGTTTTAACGATTGGAGATGGCTGGTACTCATAATATTACGAATATGAAAACGTTAAGTGTTTTATTAACTAATAAAAAATCGGCACTGTTACATATAGTCGCAGATAGTACAAAATAGTTTATTTTTCATATGATTATATAATGTATGGCCACGGTATGATTATCCTTAACCTATTTAAGGGGGTCATCCCATGTGACGGCCTGTGTTTTTCTATGACCAGTTAATAGATAAAGGTTTAAGTTTATTATCATTTATTAACATATATTTCGACAGTATAAATATAAATTTTAAGCTAAAAATATTGTGTAGAACATGGGTTACAGCATTCTGAACACCCCCGCCTCATGGTTCCTCCACGATTGGCATATCTGAATAAAAAAAAATTAGCAGCGTGAGCCTTAATGCGCAGTATGAACTATTATCAAATATTGGACTTTTGGTAGACATTTGAAAATAAAGTTGCGAATTTTACGTTTTTTTTTTTGTTATATTCTGTAACAAATTTTTTGATTAATAATAGTTGCTGAGTGTACCCTACAAATTTTAAGTCATTCGCTCAAGCCGTTTTTGAAATACCAAAAACGCGTTAAAAGTTTCAAGTCCGTTAAACAATAGCCGAACAGCTCCTTCTTCTAACTGTTGTATCTTTGAAACGATTTCGAATTTTTAAAAATCACTTTACTAACGTATTATAGACATGTTAAGGAAGCGATGTATGAAAAAATTAATTTTATTTATGACCCCCTTAAATGATTCTGATTTTATATAAATTGACTAAACTAATATTGAATTTATACAATGACTTAAAAAAATAGTATGACTTTGATTTTAGCCTTGTCTTTCGCTCAACACGCCTTATTTGCCTCTATATGGTATATTCGACTTTACTATCATGAAGATGTTAAAATTTTCTAAATCAGTTAAAAAACTTATCTTCTACAGACCCTGTAATTTATCAAAATTTTAAAAACTTTTTTTAAGGACCAGCCTTGTGTTGATTGCTATGTTTTGGACTAGCTGAAACGTACGAAATCTGTTGCCGAATTTAAGGATCAACTTAATGTGCATTCAAAAACGCTTAAATTGTAATAGATAACCATGCCTGGATTGCATCGTACTTCTGCAATGTAAACAAATTGATAGAATACTTACATACTTGTATATTAAAATTTTTTTTTTTGCAATTGAAGACATTTTACTTCAAAGCTTTCGAAATGTGTTACGAAAATTCTTACTTTTCCTTTAGGGATCAAACTAAAGTTGGACTTCTTTCTAGCTGCAACTTTTTAAATCAACTTAATGTGCACATAAAGGGCTTAAGTGGTAGTAAAAAATCATTTTTGAAAAGCATTTTTTTTCTGTACAGTAAATATGTGTTTTTTGTTTTGATTTGAGGGAGTACTAATAATTACTCAAAACATTTTTTATTTGTAGGCATTTGAAGAAAATCCCATTTGATAATTTTAAAGATAATGGTTTCAAGCTAATTACTGTATGGAATCCCCGTGAACTGGTACCGGTTAGATTAATGAATGAAATTTATGTACTCATACTTAATACTTTAACACTTTCAAACACTTAAATAATAAAAACACAAAATCTAAAGGAACTATGAATATTAACAAATATAAATATCCAACGTATGCCTACACGGGCAAATTTGCATATATGTCTGATTAAAACTAATATCACATAGAAATGTATTTCTTGTACTCCTTTTTTAGTAACTACATCTATATTGTATACATATGTACATATACCTATGTACAAAGTACACATAGTCTCCCTAAAAACTTTGTAGATTGAGCGAATATTTTTATTAAACTGAAGAAACAACAGATATCCATAAATCTTAAAACAATAATTTCAAATTCTACGAACATGTTCTTTATCAAAGAAGCGTAGTAAAATTGAAAAGCTGTGAAGCAACGAAGAACGAAATACAAAGGGAAAGCACAAATTTATTAGCTTGGGGAGTTATCTAAAGTCATATATATAATATAAATCAGTAGTAAAATTAATTAGTAATTAGTGTAAGTTGGTGTTATAAATTACAAACATTTAATATCTAAAGTTATTAAAAGTAAAAAAATAAAACAGTTTGATAAAATCTTACGAAAAACAATATGGAATGGCAAGATATCCAAGTTAAGTACTATTACATACCAGCAACAAATATATACCGTAAGCAAATAAAATATGTAAGACTTCATCCTCATAACTTTTTACGATTAGAAAACCTCAAACATTGCTTTAAAATTATATAATATATATATAATTATTGAAAATTTGATTTGAAAACTAACTTCAAATAATATGAGAGCTGTTTAAGTTAAACAAAACGTAATAAAATGACCAAATAACGGTTATAAGGTATTTTAACCTCTATAGTAGCAGTATGATTAATATTATTTAAATATTTGTAATTTAATTAAGTATTTATTGAATTACTTTTAATAATATGAAGTATATACACATATTATCAATACCAAAGCTTTCAGTAACTATAATTGATTACCTCAAGTTTAACAGCGATAAATATTTAACATACTAATTATACATGCATATAAAAACTTATTTAATTTAATTAAGTTAGATTAGGTTAATTTACCGTTGAAAACATGTTGTACTGTATTTAATATTGGTCTTTTTTCAAATATTGGTCTTAAAATCCGAGGAATTTTTTTTGTATCATGTTCGGGCTAAAATTCTACTATTGTGTATTAAGGATAGTAAATCTTTTATAGCAAAAATTATAAAAATAGAAATAGAAAGTTCGTTTGACAGAAAACTAAAATAAGAACAAAAATATCTTATTTACAATTGCTATAAAAGTTTGATAGTTATCTTTAACATTCTTGAATTGTTATGGTAAGCTTCGTTTTATTTTTTAGGAGATAATATATTATAGAAATTAAATGTTTAATATTTGAAATCAATGTCGTCGAAGATGTCGTAATAAGAAATTGGACGACAAAATAAAGACAATCTAATTTTTGCTGTCATCTTCCATTCCACCTTATTAGGAATGCTCGAGTTTTATAAGGAATTTTCAAAGTTGAGACCTATATATGTTAACATCGAATTTCGTTGATATAGGACGTTTACAGTATCCGTGATTTATTTTTCTAAAATTAAGTCCATAAATGCTATATTGAGCTCATATTTCACTACATGTTTATTGATTTTTTTTCTCTGATCAAATTGTTAAAATTCCGACTGCTTCCCGTTAATATTTTGTGTTTTTACTTAATTTATTTGCAATATTATAGTATTTTGTCATTTTGAAAATACGAATTAATACTCAAGAAAAAAGTTTAAACTAATATATCGAAATTTATAGCAAATTCGAACTATTTAAAAAATTACCTTCATACCCTTTAATACTAGTTTAAGATCGAAAAATTTTCAAAGTCTTTTTCTAATGCAGTTATTCAAATGTTGCCTTCAAGTTGCTATGTAAAAAATAATACGATGATTCGGCCTGAAGAATTAAAAACATAGACATCAGAAGATAGCTAAAAACGTATGTTATAGTTTTAGTATTTAAATTGTTTGATAATAATATATTAAAATTTTTTTGTTTTTGGTAACTAACTATTAGTGTAATTTGTTTTACTATCAATTTTTATGAGCTGTTAATATACACATTTAATAATTTTAATGTCCCCCAAAACAGAGGACCATATGATAAATTTTTTTGTATGGTTTTATAATTCATATATCAATTTTGAACTTTTTGTCGATATATCTTTACATTTTTCTCACCTCATTCTTATTGACACATACCAAAAATTTATGAGTAATGTTGGTAGATGGCATCAAACTTTTAATTATTAACAGAGATGCTCCGAACATAATACTTTTTTTTATTGTCGTTTACTATATTATTATGTAATTCGCTACAGTGTACTTCTACTTAAAAAACTGTTCAAAAACAACGAGTATACTGTATTAAGTACATGTGTGCATACGTAAAGCAATTATTTACCGTCCTTTAAATCGCTGTTTCTTTTATCCTTTATAAGTATTTATAGTTACGCGTGTGAGTTTATTGCTTAACAATGTGATATTTCGAATAAATGTATGTCTGCAAGTACTTGTCGGTAAAATCTTGCGTCGCAATATGTTTTCATTTTAACTGTGTATGTACAACAATTATTATAAGCATGAATATGTATTTGTATAGTAAAAAATGAAAAATTAACTCGTAAAGCTAAACTTTTCTTGCCTTATTTTTGCTGCACTTGGTAATTTAATTTAGACTATATTGTTATTTCAAATATTTTAAATTCTATTAATATGAACTTAGGAACATACATATATAAGTATATACAAGTAAATTAAATTTGGAATGCATTTCGTTAGATCATAAATAAATGCATATTAAATATATTTATAAATAAAGCCAATCAATTAAATTGCGATGGCCAGCAAAAAACAAATATACATATATATATATTCTACGATGAATTAAAAATAAATTGAAGTATGATTATTTTGAAGATCATACCTAGCATGAAAGATAAGTGAATGTTTTTGCTGCAAAAATACATATATACGTATAATATATACCGACATACGTAAATGTATGTACATATGTGTATGCATTAGAAAATATTAAAACAAAAATTTGTTAGATTTTATTATAATATATAACTTGTGTTGGAGTTAAAGTCGAATTCGAATTCGTGTGCTCTCAAAAAAATTCTGGTCAAAGCAATGAATATTATTCTGAACACAGTTCACTGATACAGATTGAAATGGCTGAAAAATGTATGGAAACCAAGTAATATATAATAAATATTTTAATGTGAATTAGCAAATATACCATATAATAATGAAATATCGATAACTAAACCAACTAGTAAAAATTGATGAAAATTGTTTACTCAAATAAATTAAATTTAATAAAAATTCATCAGCACAAAACACATACTCCGAGTTTTAATAAATATTAAATAACTACCTGCTATATTATAAATATTCAGAGATTATATATTTCCATTCGATATCATTAATCTCAACAGGTAACGTCAAATACAAAAGTTCCTTTCAAAAAATTGATTCCGACAGAGATTCCAGAGAATACCATACATTGCTGCTTTAAACAATAACTCAAATAAATGTTTGTATGGCAGCTATATGGGACAGTTTTCCGATATTGGCCGTTCCGACAAATCTCAGTGAGGAAAGGCCAGGTGCAAAATTTTAGATCGATAGCATAAAAACTGAGGGACTTCGTATATTTAGAGACAAAGAGACAGACAGACAGACGGACATGGCTAAATTAACTCTCTTACTTAGAATTTGACAAATTCTATGAAAAGTTAGCGGTAGAGATGTGATATTTTACTTATACCTAAACTTGGTTTCGTTTCGGAGCAGTAATAACGTTTTAAATTTTTATATCCCAAACAGGGAATATATAGAGTTAGCCACGAAGTTTGTAACATCCAGAAGGAAACATAGGAGACCCTATAAAATATATAAATATATATATAAATGATCTCTCTGTCTATATATACGCGAACTAGTTCCCTAGTTTTTGAGATATGGAACTAAAGTTTTGTACACGTCTTTTCTCCCCAAAAATTTCTCATTTGTCGGAACCGCCGTTAGAACGATCAATATTAAGTCCTTGTATGGAAAGCTTTTTGGTTTCTGAAGAGTGTCATAACTGCGGTATAACGGAAGTTTGTGTGTTTTCTTGTTGACAATGGTATTATATTGTTATAATGCATTAATTCATGCGGTTTTTTTCGAATATTAAGATTTTATTGTGAAAAAATTGTTATACATTTAATGTTCAAAGTATTGCTCATCGGAAACTACGATCTTTGCCCATCTTTCTGGCAGTTTGTGGATCCCATCCCAAATGAACTTCTCCGGCTTGGAGGTCAAGAAACAATCGAGCCAATTTCTGAATGTGCTATGTCTGGGCTATAAGGCGGGTGAGATAGAACTTCCCACCCACAGTTTTCCACATACTTTTTAACTGGCCTTGCAACATGAAAAATTATTGATTCGTGTCTGGTCGCATGTTCTGGTCGTTTTTCCGCGATGGCCTTTTTCAAACGGATCAATTGTTTTCGGTAGAGGTCCCTGGAAACGGTTGCTTGATCAACTCCTACTACTTTTGCAAGTTCTTCTTGCATCTGGCATGCATCTGCGTTGAGCAAAGTCTCCAATTCTTCGTCTTGAAATTTTTTTGGCTGTCCGGGTCGTTCTCCGTCGTCTAACTCGAAATTGCCACTTTTAAACCGTGCAAACCACTTTTGGCACGTTCGTTGGGCTAAAGCATGGTCACCATAAACGTCCAGTAAATTCGATGGCTTTCGGTAGCACTTTTCTTCATGTTAAAGTTATGAAGAAGAACTCCCTGCAAAAACACTTTATCTGGTACAAATTTCGACATTTTCAAATGAATGAAACAAATTGTTGTTCACGCTAAAACAAATGGCATCTACTGAAAACGACCCGAAATGACAGTACCTTTGAAATGAATGTAGCCACAGATGAACACGACGCGAAATAATACTAGTAGAGCCCTCTCTTAGAAAACCGCACGAATTAATGCATACGCGCAATATATGATAACTACGCCATATAAATAGAAAAAATGTTTCTGCTTAATTAGCAAGGTAAAAGAGAAACAACACACTCATTTAGGAGAGTTTATGGGGGATACTTTCAAGAGAAATATTTTTTTTGTTCCTGTGGTGAAATGTATCAAAATCTATTGAGCTGTTAAGATTTTAATGAATGAATTTGGTCACGGTGTTGCTAGGCGACATTAATGCAAGAACAAGCGTAAGTGGAACAAATACAAGAAGGGAGTTCTAAGAGTACTATAAATGAGATGTAACCGACTATTTATGCAACTCGTTTTTTATGATTTTGTTTAATTACGATTGTGGTTATTGTTGTTAGTAGATTTCAGAGAAATATTTTGATAGTTTTTAGATAGTTTATCGCTATATATTAGTAAAAATCGATCTGTGATGGAACGTACAACCTAAACCTAGAATGATAGATACAATTGTTGAACCTTTCTAAAAACTTTATTTGGGTAATGTTGTTAGCAGGTACTTTTATTGTGCAAGTTTTAGAAAGTTTTTATATTTGTTTAATAAGTCAGTTGCCTTGATTTTATTGAGTGAGGAAATAAAATTAGAAACACTCGAAGATAAAGGTATGAAAATATTCCATTTAATGTAGTTTGTAGTATATTTAATAGTAACAGTCGTAAATAAATTATTTATAATAATATTTTAAAAATATATAACTACGGGAATCTACATTTTACTCTTATGAGCTTCAGGTTTTTTCTATGGCAACTACGATACATCACTCATACGCCTGCGCGTACTTATCTCATACGAAAAGAAGAGAAATGCACGGATATTTTCTTTGCTTTGTTGAGACATTTCAATTGAAACAGTTTCAGTTCGTTTTTTCAACCCGTCGACTTTATCACGGTCTGGACCAGTGAGGAAATAAATAACATAACTATACAGTGCAATGTGGGACTGAAATTTTCAGGAAAAAAACTTAATATCTTTTAAAGTTTAGTGTACAAAGGTGAAAAGAAATTTAAATGATAATATCGATAAATAAAATTAAATGAATTAATAAATGAAATTAATTAAATGATTTGGCATCAAAGAAAAGTTAAGATGATATTTCTTTACTGCGTTGTGCCAAATCCATAAAAGGAGTTTAATATACGTACCTATATACATAGGTATGTGAAAATCCATTTTTAACTAAGATAAAATTGTTTAATTTGTGCATATACATAGCTACATACATTTATTTGATATTGGCTCAACATGAACTCGCATGCAGACGGTGGGCAAAGGTCGCGACAGCATCAAATATCGACGACGGGTATTTTCGAGTTTGTCAATCTGTAAAGCACAAAGAAATCTACTAGCACAAAGAAATCTACTACACATACATATATCTGCTGTACACATACAATTGTATGTATGTATATGGTATATGTATGTACTTACGTATTTACGAAAAGGGATATGTTGTGTGGCTGATACTCCCTGTCCCACATGTTTGCTGTAAAAAAGTTGTTTTTGTGAGTCTGCACACCAGGGCGTCGAGCGTAGACAAATCAGGACATTTTCGATCGCCAACGCCTTCAGTGGGTGATGGATGTGTTATGATAGGATTATGAGTCTTTAAGATTGAATAGGTGCACAAAAGCAACGTATGATTGGGTGTAAAACCAGTTTGAAATCTGCCGATAACTAAGTAATTAAAAAGTAGATGAGAAGATGAGAAAACGAAACTGTAGCAAAAGTAGTGGTAAAAAAGAAAGGTTTTACTATTGAGCAATTTTATTAAATATGTGCTATATGAGCTTGTAAATCCTATGAAGAGAACAAAATATAAAAGAAAGTTTCATCAATATTCAAAATTAAAAATTCCTAATTTATGCGTTGAGCTACTTTTGACTGAAGAATTTTTTTTGCTATTACGGGGATATGAACACATCTGTTTAAAATTAGGATACAGGATCAACTTAGAAAAAAAAAATCATAACTTCCTCGGCTGTTTTAATAGTTTATCGTCGCAAATTGGTATTTTTTAATATTTTTATACCCTGAACAGAGTATATTAAGTTTATCACGAAGTTTGTACGAAGAAGAAGAAGAAACTGGGAGACCCTATAAAGTATATATATAAATGATCAGCATGGCGATTCAGTTAAGCCATGTCTTGTGTTTGTATATACACTAGTCTCTTAGTTTTTTCGACATCAATATATTATATATAGCATATGTTTTTTTTTTGCGGGTAAGGGGGTAGAAAATGCTTTCCGCATCATCAGTGCTGTCAATGGTATGTGTAACTTGCGGGTCACTAAAAACCCCCCCTCTAGGGAACCGTCACCCTGGAACCGCGTTTTCAATACATCAGGGTGGCGGTCCATATTCCTCATTGAGAGATTTACATCTGCACACCTGCGTCCAGGTCCCGCTTTTTGCTGCGTAGCAAAGTTACTTCGTATTTCTGGATAATAGCCCAGTTATCTTCGCTCTCCACCATGACGCTGATTAAGTAATTTGAACCGACCAGGTTTTCTACGGCGTTCCCTTTGCTATCGCTCACAGTCAAAGAATGTGTGTTTAGCGTCGTCTTCAGTCGCATCGTTGTATAGGCATGACGACTCTTCGACTTTTCCGATTATGTAGAGGAATTTTGTGAAGTATCCATGACCGGATAGTAGCAGTGTTATGTAGTCTTCTCCGAATTCACGACTTTTTCATAAGTTTAGGTCTCTTACAAGTCTGGCCGTCTATCTGCTCTGATTGTCGTGGACATTAGAAGCTTTCTCTTTTCTTGGCTGGGCCCCCTTATGTTGGCCATTAGTCTGCTGAGTTGGGAGATGATTTTCACTGACTTTCCTGCGGTGTGCTGGATTTGTACCCAGAAGCTTAATCTTTTGTGTCCTTAGAGTATCCGTAGTCGTTTGCATACTTATATCGAGAGTTATGTGCTTATTTGTTAGCAGTAGTAGCTCAGTTTTCTCCGTAGCGAGCTGAAGGTTGTGTGAGTCAAGCCATGCTTGCGTCTGTATCATGACCTGGTTTAGCTTTATTTGCAATGTCGTCCGCGTAGCCAATTAGGTACGATTTGTCTGGCATTTCAAATTTTAGTATGGCGTCGTGGCTGATGTTCGACAATTCTGGATGGATCCTTGTGCAGCACCTGACGTAACCGCTATCTGTCGTACCGCACCACAGCTCTAAGGTAATTGGGGATTTTAAAGCTTTTTTCGAGAGCGTAGATTATGTCCGCCCATCTAGCGCTGTTGAAGGCGTTTCGGGCGTCTAGAGTCGCCAGCAAAACCACTCTTTTGTACTTATGGCATCTGCGCTGTGCGGCTTTTAAGCTTTCAATGATGCATCTTATATAGCTCCTAAAGTTGACCTGCCGGGTCTAAAGCCGTGTTGTCTAGGGGAGAGTCCTCCAGCTTCGCCGCTTCGAGTCGGGGTTTAAGTAGCCTTTCATAAAGTTTTCCCGCTGTGTCAAGCATACATAGTGGACGGTATACTGATGGGCAAGTTGGGATCACCGTTTCCCTTACTGATTAGCACCAGGCGTTATTTTTTCCAAGGTTCAGAGAATATTCCGGCTTCGAGGCAGGCATTGTACATATTCTACTGCCGGTGCCGGTCGCTCTGCAGCGATTTTTATAAGGATTTCTATTGGGATCCCGTCCGGGCCGGGTGATTTATTAGTTTTGAGCTTTCCAGTAGCTAGTTGTAGCTCTTCGAAGGTGAACTGGGAGATATATAGCATATAGTTGCCATACAAACTGACCGATCAAACTCAAGTTCTTATAAGAAATCCGTTGTGTTTGTAAAGGGTATTACATCTTCGGTGCAACCGAAGTTAGCGTTTTTTCTTTTTTTAAATTGTTTCATACCTTTTTAATTGTAAACGTTTTGTTAAAAATTGTTACAAATATCTGCTTAAATATTTAGTTAACAAATTGTTAGAGCATTTTGTAATTATATGGTGTTTCCTTTTAGTTTCATCAAATACGTAGAACCTTCTTGCACTATGTTATTTTAATGTAATATACATACTTACATAATATCAGTTTGTGATCTCTCCATTTTTGCTCTCTAATTTGCAAGAAAATATTAATATTAGTTTCCAATTGCATTCGAAATTTCAGCTCTAAAGCAGATACGAAGTTCTTCTAAAATATTATTATCCATACATGTATTCCGAGTTAATTTACTCATCATAATTTCATTTCATTTTACTTTGTTTAATTTAAATTGTTTTACACTAGACTACGTACACTCGCAATTTTTAATTTTTATTGACAGGGTATTCGGTGTAAAGCTTTCTTAGTTTTATTGAAATAATTCATTCAGGCCTGGCCCGATACAATTTACCACCCTTTCTAAATTAAAAAGAAAATATCATAGTTTCATTTTTATATATTATATATAAATTAAAAAAATAAACTAATTTTACAAATTATTTTATTTAAATAAACTTATATATGAATTAAAACCTTTAAAAAAAGGGAAATTATATAAGTATTTCATACATTTTTAGTTCTACCCTACTTGAACACAAGCTGCTAAAAGCAATAGTTCTACTCAATTTTAATATAAAAAAATGTCCTCATGACCTAATATTCCGTTATCCGCTTCAACCCTTTAATTCATATTATCGAACGCCACCCATGCTGCTTCGATAATAAGCAGTCCCTGGATATCATATGACAACCTCTGACTTTTTTGTTGTGTTGTTATTTTAAAGAACCATTGACAGGCTCAAGACAAACATTCTGAATCATACTTATATAAAATCTGAATCATACTTACATATATCACACGAGTTGCTCGAAAATAGAAAACGCGAGCTCATTTTACTGTGGTTAATAAGGCAGTCAGTTTATTGACCGTACTGTGTATTAAATATAGTCCAAATATATTGTATAAGCAAGTAAGGAACGCCTAAGTTCGGATGTAACCGAACATTTTATACTCTCGCAAAGTCAAATGGTATACTCGTTTGAGATTTCTTTGTGGATTGACTGATATTTTCGGTAGAAAGTCAACTATAGGCACTGGGGTCCACATAGTTAGTACTTAGGGGTTTGAACAGTTTTGGTTCGATTTAGACAATTTTTGGCCGCAAGGTGGCATACTTTAATTGCATTATTCACGCAAAGTTTTACCCCGATATAATCATTGTTACCTGATTTGCATAGTGGAAAGTGAAAGAATCAGATGGAATTGAAAATGGTGTTACATGGGAAGTAAGCGTGGTTGTAATCCGATTTCGCCCATTTTCGCACTATGACATAGAAACATGAAAAGAACGTTATGCACCGAATTTGGTTGAAATCGGTTGAGCAGATCTCAAGATATGGGTTTTCACCTAAAAGTGGGCTGTGCCACGCCCACTGACTAATTTTGAACGCGGTTTCTATAAAGCCAATTTATACCATCTCAGAGATAAAATTTAATGTCTTTGGCGTGTTTAGTGCTTGATTTATCGCGCTTTTAGTAGTTTTTAACAGTACCGTTATATGGGGAGTGGGCGGAGTTGCCACCCGATTTCAACTATTTTCACACCGTCAATAGAAGTGCTAAAAACATTTGCTTCTAGTGAATTTTGTTATTATAGCATTAGCGGTTTAGGAGATATGCACATTAAACCTATTAGAGGCGGGACCACGCCCACTTTTTAAAAAAAGTTTTAACTGCAGATGCCCCTCCCTAATGTGATCCTGTGTACCAAATAACAGTCTTGTATCTTATTTCGGAGCTTAGTTATGGCAAGTTATTTGTTTTTGATTAATGGCGTTTTGTGGGCGTGGCAGTGGTCCGATTACGCCCATCTGCAATACCAACCGTCTCACGGTACCAAGAAACATGTCTACCAAGTTTCATAAAGATATCTCAATTTTTACTCAAGTTAGAGCTTGCACGGACGGACGGACGGACAGACAGTCACCCGGATTTCAACTCGTCTCTTCATCCTGATCATTTATATATATATAACCCTATATCTAACTCGATTAGTTTTAGGTGATACAAACAACCGTTAGGTGAACAAAACTATTTACTCTGTAGCAACAGGTTGCGAGAGTATAGAAAAAAAATTCATAAAAAACGCGGCTGGCTTATTTTCAAACTACATAGCGACATAAAGGATAGACTTTCCGTTAGTACTGAAAATGAAAACCATTTT